CTTCTCAGACACCCCCACCCTGGGCAGCCCCCTTGCTCCCCCCCCCGCATCTCCCTGTTGCTCAAATCCCTCCTTGGCATCACCTGCTCTCGAGAGGAGCACCCAAAGCTCCCCCCCTGCTTCTCGCAACACCTCTCCCTCTACCTTTGCTCGCCGCTTTGACCAGTATAACCACCCCTGGGCTCCCCAGGCTGCACCCCGGGTTGTCCCAGTCTCCTCTGTCACCCCTGCCAGCCCTGGGGGCCCTCTGTACTGCAGCAGTACCTGCCCCAGGCACGCTCCTATCATCTGCTTCAGTCCTGTCCTTTTAGGGCTCCCCCGCAGTGTCCCCCTGTTGCCCCCAGCACCCCTCTTTGCTGCTACCCACCCCAAGCACACCCTGGGGCCCCTGCTCAGCATCACCTGTCCTGGGCCCTGCCCCGTGCCATGCCCTTGGGCTCTGCCTGTGTGTCCCCTCCACTCGCTCCCCTTCCTCTGTGTGCTGCTTCTGGGGACACCCTTCCCTAAGCCCCCACCCCGTGCCTTGGCAGCCCTGTGCCCTGCCTGTGGGGTCCCTCCCTGTGCCCTGTACCTCTGCAGCACCCCAGCCCCTCCTCCTGAGGCACCCAGTTGTCACCTCCAGGCTCAGACCCAGCCCTGGGGAGCATCCCTGTGTGCGGCCCTCAGCCCTTCCTTGTACCCCCTGCCAGTGCTTACCTCCTCCTCCATTACACCCTCCCCCCCCCCGGGGCTCCCTTCATTACCCTGATCTGCACCACAGCCCATGCCTGTCCCGTGGGGACCTTTACTTGTCTCTGCCCCACTCACACCAAGGGGACATCTCCCCTCTCTCTGCCCGACACACAGTCCCGTCTCCTCTGAGCACCCCAAGCCTGCTCCCTTGAGCTCTTACGGCTTTGGGACTGTTCTTTGTGCTCTCTTGTCCCCATTCCCCTCCCAAGTGCTGGCTTTATGGGGACAGCCCTGGAAGCACCAGTGCCTGTAGCCTGGGCTGACTTCCCCATCTTCCCCTGGGGTCCCTCAGCAGCGTCACGGGGCTGGCAGGGGTCACCTTCTCCTGCCACAGTTGATGACTGTGATGGTGACATCTCCAAAATGCTCCCTCCCTCCCTTTGCTCCCTTGGCTGCTTGTCAGACCCAGCTCTGCCAATGTGCAGTGAAGATGTGGAAAAATACCAGAGCCCTGTATCCTCGATGCCCCCATGCCCCCCAGCTTGCCGCAGCCAGAGCCAGCTCACCCGCACCACCCCCCCTCCCCAAACTTGTGTGCCAGGACTTTGTATGCTCTTTGGGGAGCTCAGTCTCCCCATGCCCTCCCAGCTGAGCCCCCCACTGTAGGCAGACTCCAAACCCTGTGCCAGGCACAGCCTTGATGCAAGGCTGCTGAGACACATTCTGCAAGCAAACCTGTGGCTCTCAGACTGCCCCTGCCTTACCTGTCCCCTCTGCACTCCTGGGTAGACATGTCTGGACCTGCCTGGCTCTCCCCCATGCAGATGTGGTCCTGCTCTCCCTTCATATTCCATGTACAACCACCCAAGACAGCTTCCCCAAGAAGGGCAGTGTCCTAATTTCTGTATAGCTTGGGTGCTTCCTTTTTGTGCTCTTGCGGGCATGACTCCCTGGGAGAGGAGCCAACTCTTCCCTTCGGGTGTGTGTCCAGCTGTAGCAAGTCAAGCTCTTTCTAGCAGGTACGGGGATTTCCTGCCCCCCTTTGTTATGTTGCACACCCCAAGAAGAGGTGGCATGGCTTGAGGAGAGCTCTTGGGTAGCTATAGGTGCCTCCCATCTCTAGGTGGGGAGAGACCCCTCTGACTACCCTGCTGTGGGGAGGGCTTTGCCTGCCCCGGTCCTGCTGCAGCCCTCTGAAGAGGGGAGCGGAGTGGGGTCTCCAGCCCAAGGCTGGAGAGCAGCAGTTTCACCCCCCAAACCAGAGTGCATCCTCCCCTCCATCTGCCTTCCTCCTGACTGCCCTTTGGGCTGCGTCATGCTGGCCACAGGCTTGGGCAGAGGCTGTGCTCCCTGTCTTCCCAAGCTTTGGGTCTGATACAGCACTGATAAATATTTTCAAGACAAAAGCTAGAGCTAGATGAGCCTCCCAGGTCTGCTTGCTCTCCTTCCCTGCCTGCAACATGCGGGCTGCAAGCGCGGAGCTGCTGTGCTGTCGCTCCGGCCGAGGTAGCCGGCACGTAGCTGTGCTGCCGTGCCATTCTGCACGACCGCAGCTGGGCTATTTACGGGCCTGCACAGATGCTGTGCCAACGCGCCGGGGCTCAGGGCACGGCAGGGATTAGTCGGAGACTTTCTGAATCGGGAGCACAACTGTCGGGATACCATGCGATGTTGGGTCTCAGCTACAGTGCGGAGCCTGAACCTTCATTATTTTAATGAGATGTGGAATAATAAATTTAAGGGCAGAGTGCAAAAAGGAAGCTGAAAGCCCAGCACTGAGCCTGGAGGAGAGACACATACTTGAGCAATGTGCCCCGATACATGCACACCTTCAGGGCTTGTGCACAGCCACGTGCCATTCTTGTTTTTCCTAACCCATAGCAGTGATAGAGCTGCCTTAAGTGAACAGGTATAAGGTGTCGCTTCCTAGCGTGTCACCCGTAGGGCCACCAACTTACCACCAGTGCTCAGCATCACTCATGTGCTGCCCTGGCATCGCCCATGCATGTTCCCATCAGTCCAAGCACCCAGGCTTTGTGCCGCCAGCTCTCGTCTCCCTGGCGCAGCCTCTTTGCACAGAGGGAGTCAGAGGTTACATGCAGCAGTGGGGAGTAGGATGCCGGTTCTGCTGTCATTAGATTTTTTTTATTTTTTCTTTTCCCCTGTGATGCTAAGCAAATCAGTAAGCTATTAATGAGCTCCCAGGATAGGTCATGGGAGGGCTGCTGCAGGGACAGATTGGTTAGCATGTGCCATCCTGTGTTCGGGCAGGGAGCGTGCAGGGATGCTCTCTTTGTGATGGAGAACAGGTCTGGCCTGTGGTCTGCATCTCTTCAGCTCCTGGCTGCTTGACTTTGGTTTGCTAACATCTCATCTTTAGGAAGCGGCTTGCCAACTCTTTAGGTTTAAAGCTGTTTGTTTTGAAGGCAGGAAGATGATTTAACAACTAAAACACTTTCAGATTATAGAAAGAAAATGAGGAAATATTACTTTTGGCTTAAGCCTCTCCTAGCAGCGCTCCACCCAAAGTGAAGTGCATGGTGCTTGCAGCTACTGCTGGGTCAGCAGCGTCCTCCCTGTCCTTGCTGAGGTTCAGGGGCCAAGTTTTAAATTGGAGCCTTCGTTACACTAAAAACAAGCCTTGGCTTGTTGGAGCCAGCAGGTCCTGGTGAGCCAGTGTTTGAGCCGCTTTCCTGTGGGAAGGGGCTGTCGGCAGCGCTGCCGTGTGAATGCTCTCACCCTCCTACCTGTGTCCCCTGGCCTGATGCTCCTGGCTGTGTGTGACTGGCACGGGGCTCTGATGTGCTCCCCATCATGGTGCAGTTCCTGGCTGAGAAGAGCCAAACTCTCCTGCTCCCCATGTTGGTGCTGTATGGATGCTGCGGGGAGCAGGAAAGCAAAGCCCCGTGCCCTGTTGGGGTTTAGCAAAGTCGAGGTGGGGGACAGCAGTGTGAGCTGTGGCTGTCCTGGCTGTGCAAAGGTCTTTCCCAGGACGAGCAGCCTCTGCTTCGGTTTCCGTGCCATCATGCTTGTCTCACCAAACGGTGACTCGCACCGGAGAAGCTGTTTTTCCTGGTCAGCGTTTTGGTCTCCAGAGCCAAGCTGTCCTGTGCTGCTCCCAGTTGGCCCTTGGGTTTGTGTGCTGATCCCCCCTCCAGCACTTTGGGGGTCTCATTTGGCTCCTCAAAGTGCACCCAGTGCCCAGTATCTCCAGCCTGTTCATGGTCCCTCCCATCCCCCAGACGTAACCTTCATCTTCTGCTGAGGGCAGGGAGGTGCAGCCAAATCCCTCTGTTGTGCACTTTCATTTCCATAGCAGTAGCCATGGATACAGACTGTTTGTGCAAATAACCAATATTCCCACCCACACTGATCACTGACCATTGCAGGCACGGGCGCCGGGCAGCCCAGGGCTTGGTGTCCCTGGTAGTCCTTGGCTTTACCTGCTGCTGGAAGTTTGCTTTCCCAGATGCTCTCTGGGGCTTTGCTAAAACAAAACCCAACTTTGTCAAATGGGTGGAGTTAGTTAACTGCTTTCAAAATACTTGGATTCATTTGTGTGACTTGTTAAATGTGGCAGAGGCGAGTGGTGTCCTCCAGCTTCTCCCTTACGGTGCTTGAGGGTAAAAAAACTTAGCTCCTAGAGCAAAACAATATCCTGGTTGTGTGCGCAGGCTCTGCCTGTCACCTAGGTGCTCTGTGCAGGTGACCTGGCGTCTGGCAGAGGGATTTGCATCCTGGCGTCAGCTAATTGTGCCAGGTCTGCCACCGGCAGACCTGGCCCCGTTTGCTGATATGATGCTGTTGTATTTCTCCACGTGTCTAGTTTATGTGCAAGAGAGTGGTTTGCCTCAGCGGGGGGTTTGTGGAGTAAAACCTAGATGCAATGAATTGGACCTGAGATGCTCAGCTTGAAGAGCTCAGTGAGATGTCTGGTGAAGGAAGAAGCTGTTTGGGTCATAATCTTGAGTACCAGCACTAATGAGCGAGGCAAGTTATATTCTAAGTGTGGCTGAGATTGCACTTAAATGTTGTTTGATACTTGGGCCTCCAGTTTTCTCTCTTTAAAGACTTGTTGGCACTTAATGAAAGCTGTATGAAGTGGCAGAGCTCCCCTAGCACAAACACAATGCTTAAACGCACAGATTTGGTCTGAGAAGAGCCAGCATGCTGCAAGGCTTTGACACTGGTGTGACTGCTCTTAGTGAGGCTGTACTGGCACAGCATTAAGGGGTGTGATTTACTTCCCACTTGCAGTTATACTAGTAAAGCATAAGGTATGAGCCAGCCTTTGCCTCCTGCAGCAGAGCTCAGGTGGGAGAGCTGGCGTTCACATAGAACTGATTTTTTTTCCCATAGACTCGCTGCTAATTGTGCTTTTAGTGTCTGCTGCTTTGGCTTTCAGAGCCTGGGGAGAATTGCCTGACAGTAGCACAGGAAAATAACCCTCTGCTTCCAGGTTCCCTGCAAGCGCCTGAGAAGACGCATGCTCGATCTCACTCACATGCCTGTACTTTGCTGGGAAGAGGTCCCTGAGCTGGCTCCCAGGCAATGGGCCCAGATTAATGTGTTGCTGGTGCGTGGTGCTCAACGGGATCCTAAAGCGCTTGAAGCCACAGCAGTGCCAGCATCACTGCTGGTACCTTGCAGTGCGATAGGTCCCAGTCATGTTCCTAAGGCCTTTACTATCTGCGTAAACCAGACCTGTTCCTTGCCCGCATTGAGTTAGTGTGGACATTTTGTAATGTGTCTGAAAAACCCACTCTTGCTTTTGTCCCTTTCGGTTAGGTGAGAGGATCCTGGGCTATGCAGAAGAGCCTTGCTACCTGTGGTTTGTCATGGAGTTCTGCGAAGGGGGAGACCTCAACCAGTACGTGCTTTCACGAAGACCAGACCCGGCAACAAACAAGAGCTTCATGCTGCAGCTGACCAGCGCCATTGCCTTCCTACACAAGAACCATATTGTCCACCGGGACCTGAAACCAGACAACATCCTGATAACTGAGAAGTCTGGCACCCCTGTTCTCAAGGTGGCTGACTTCGGGCTGAGTAAGGTCTGCGCTGGCCTGACTGCTCGGGGCAAGGAGGGTGGGCATGAGAACAAAAATGTGAATGTGAACAAGTACTGGCTGTCTTCAGCTTGCGGCTCCGATTTCTACATGGCACCCGAGGTTTGGGAGGGACACTACACTGCCAAGGCTGACATCTTTGCCCTTGGCATCATTATCTGGGCCATGATTGAGAGGATAACTTTCATCGATGCGGAGACCAAGAAGGAGCTGCTGGGGACCTACATCAAGCAGGGGACCGAGATTGTGCCCGTTGGGGAAGCGCTGCTAGAAAACCCAAAGATGGAGCTGCACATCCCTCAGAAACGCAGGACTTCCATGTCTGAGGGGATCAAGCAGCTCTTGAAAGACATGTTGGCTGCTAACCCACAGGATCGACCTGATGCCTTTGAGCTTGAAACCAGAATGGACCAGGTTACATGTGCTGCTTAAATTCAGGGCAGGGCACTGCTGTGCTTTGCAGCTGGGTAAGTGATCTGCAGTTTTTGTATTATTCTGTCTGCTGTACCAGCCTGATAATGTACTTTGTAGTGACACAAAGGAGTCTTTTATGTTCCCAGAGCTATTTCTATAGTGACTCATCAGAGCACTGCTTCTGAGTTTTTTTCCCACCTATTCTACTGCAAAAATAAAGTAGAGGTGGGAAAGAGAATTAGCAGCTGCCCATCCCGCTGCTGCCCAAAGGCCCAGGACAGCTGGCAGGGCTGGGCAGGAGCCTCGCTCCTCAGAGGTTCTGGCCAGTGGCTGAGACAGGCTGGTGCACGGCAGAGACCTGCGAGCACCCTTGGACATCAACTTTGGATACATCTGTTCCCTCCCAGGGGTAAGGAAGGAACTGCCAGTTCTGCCTCCTCTGCTGCATGTATAATATCTGTGGTCAGTGCTGAGAGCACCTCGCTGTCTTGCACAGTCCCCTTCCCCTCTGAGACTCAGACAGGACACCTCAGGGCTTGGCTGGCTCGGTGAGCAGGCACCGAGTGGAGCGGCAGGTCTGTCTCCGCACGGACAAGGCTGTTTGCTTTGCTTTCACCTATGAGGCATGTGGGTCTGTCTTGTGGGTCTGTCTCGTTTCGTTTCCTCGCTAAAGGCTGGACTTCCCTGTGATGTGAACTGCAGTTGCTCAAACCAAGTAGGATGCTTTGGTCTCCAGCATCTGAGTTTGTTGACCTGCATCTGCTCAGGAAGGAAGCTTACAAAACAGTTGTGCTCAGACTGAGCTCAGCTCCATTCAAGCAGAGTCCCCTCCCTGCTCCCCCCTCAGCTTGATTCCTAAATAGTCCCAAGTTCAGAGGTTGCGGTCCTGAGGTCTGAGTGGTCACGCATGGTCTGGAAGGACCCCCAGGGACGTGGGGTAGCTGGCAGTGTCACTAACCAGTGACACCGAAGGACTGGGAGGTGTTGCCTGCATGGCAAAGTTGTCTGTAAACAGGAGCTGTTACTAAGGATTCTCTTGGCCAAATGCTTCAATGAAACTGAAAAATTACAGATTACAAGGGCTGAGGCTGATATCTTCCCAGCCCAGTTTTTTTCTTAAGCTCCTGCAGAGCTGCCTGACTGTTGCTGGTCACAGGAGACCTCTGAAAGCCTGCTTGTGTCAGGTGCTGGCATTGCAGCTTGGGTCCCAGCCCTTATCTCACCCTGCAGCCACACAGATCCTGCTGGACCAGAGCAGACCACAGACAGAAGAGAGCAGAGAGGGATGAAATGGCTGCCCTAGCCAGCAAACACCCGGCCTTCAGCCTTGCAGCCGATGGCTGTGTGCCTGGCCTGCTCCCGAGAGCAAGCCTTAGCCAGCAGCAGGGCAGTGGGGCAGGTGCAGGTATTTTGGCAGGTTTTGCTAAAAAATAAACCATCCTCATCGCTGCCCACCTGAGGGTTCCTGAGCTTATGTAAAGCGATGTGCTGCCTGTCCCCTCTCTGCATGCGTGCCCAGGTAAGCTTTATGCTGTTTGCAGAGAAATAGGAATATAGAAATGGAAAGGCCCATGGGGTAGGTCTAGTTCTGTCACTGCTGGTTTATCCAAACTGATCCACAGACCATCCCCTCCGCACCCTGGCACAAAATATTTAACGCCCTTAAGATCTCCAGCGCAAATAATTGCTGTGACTGCTTCCGCATGGGGCTGAGGCTCCTTACTGGTCCCAGTGTAAGTGTGGGCTGGGGATTAGGGTGGGGAAGTGAATCTGCAGAAATGTGAGTCTTTAAGACGGGGTGCGATAAAGACCTGGGACAAAAAAGGGCACCCCACCTTGTGTCCCAGGGCGAGGTGTGGGTCTCCTCCGGCTGTTGGGAGCAGCTCTGCTGCGTGGCGGAGGGTCGGGGATTGCAGTTGCCATCTGCGATTGCTCTGTGCTGACACGATGCTGCTGAGTTATGCAACCAGCCTGTGCCCTCCGGGGAAAATTCATCCTGCGCATATCTGCAGAATAGTACATGCAGGGATAACAAACACCGAGGGGACAGTCCTACCCTGGGGCTGTTTGCTTAAAACCCAGCTGCCTTCTGCAACCTCCCCCCCGCCCGACCCCCTCGCTCCATCCGTGGCCGTGAGTCTGCACCGATCCTGCTCCGTCAGTGACACAGCTGCAGCAGAGATGGATGCACTTATATAACGCAACCTGGCATACGCAGCGCGGACGCTTGGCCCAGATAGCCCGGCGCCAGCCGTATGTTCACTGCAAACACAGAGCATTGTGCCGTGGGGAGCATTCCTCTGGCTTTACATTTATGGGGCAGGAGAATATTTGGTATGCTTTCCTATAGGGTTTTTCTAATACGTTGTGTATTTGTGCGTTCAAATCAGCCAACCCCTGGCTGTTATTAAATGCAAATCTTAAATTGGAAACCTGCTTGAGAAGCTTAAAATGGGATTTAGAGCAGGGCCTGAATTCTGCTCTCAGGTAATTTAAGTTGACCGAGAAACTCAAGTAACCTCTTCCAACTTAATTGTGGCACTGGCGTGTAGCTTAGAGTGCTGCTGGGTCATGCAGTGAGGAGCTCTTCCCCAGGACAGCTTCAGACCCTGCTCAGCCTTGGTTCATGTCATAACTTGGAAAATCATAACCTTCCCTGACCCAGGCAAGCAGATTTTTGCTTATTCTTTGGTATGCCACTGATGTCTTCTGATTTTGCTTCATGTCCCAGCAGCTTTGCCTTTAGTTCTGCTACGGATGCTGCACGCACCTGCCAGTCAGCAGGCTTCATGCTCTGTTACCCTTCTAAAATGCAGATATTAAATGTCAGTTCTCAGCCAGGGAAGTGTTTCTGGCTTGGTTTCTGCTGGACACCAGGGTGTCTGGGGTGGAGATGAGCCTGCTTTATGTTCTTGCTGCCCTTACCAGTGCTGCTGGTGGCCCAAGGGCGGTAGGTCCGGCGGAGGTGGGCAGCATTTCCCTGGGCAAAAGAAAGGCCATCTCTTTCTTATTTGAACACTGTGCTTCCCCACCTTCTGCAGAAGGAGTATCTCTAAAACCTGAGATTGCTGTTCCCAAAAGTATGCCTTTTGGGGAAAGAGGACAAAAGCCTTTCTAGTACAATTAGGGAGTGGCTGGATTGTGCTGGGTACATGCTGATCATCTTGATTACTGTGTGATAGCCCAGCACTGGCTGCGCAGTACACTAAGGAGTATGTCACCCCTCCTTGTCGGTACTGAAAGGTTGGGGCCACTCACCTCTCTCCTCCTTTCCTGCAATGTGGACATCTTTTTCTTTGTGTGTCTTTTTTTTGTAGCTGCCCTCTGAGCTCCCCAGGGCAGGCGAGGGGCCTCCCATGGACACTGCTTCAGTGGGACCCTCTAACATTGAGGGTTTGTGCAAAGGAGTGAGGTACAGTGAGAGCACGTGGCTGTTTGCTGCTCGCTGGAGTGGCAGCAGTGGTCTTGGCCACAGAAGCAAGGGGAGCAAGCGGCAGCATCACCCACCACCTACAGTTATCCATTTAAGAAACTTTGTAGTTTTAGTTCACATAGGACATCAAACTGCAATGGTTTTGATCAGTGTAGAAGGCAGCTTGTTCTGGTAAATCCTTCCATGGTATTTTCACTATGGATAAAACAGTAGGTCTGATTTTTGTGGTGGATGCTCCAGGTGAACGGCAGGAATGTGCGCATGTGGTGTGGTGCAGACTGTCACATCTCAGGGGCTGCCTTCCGCAGGAAGGTGTCTGACAGCCAAGGCCAACCCTGTTCACTCCAGCACTCCTGCCCCTTCTCTGTCACTGGTTTTGATCATTCCGGTTTCAGCTGAAAGTAACTGTTTGCATTTGCGTTGTTCTCCTCTTTGCATTTTCAAAGGAGCTGATGCTGAACAAGCTCACCTGCTCTCCCTGCATGATGGTGCCTATCCCTGGTGAGAGGTCTCTGGTGCTGAGCCCAGCCGCTCCTGAGCACCACTAATAAACTGCTGCCCTACAGAATTTCAGACCTGGAGGGCAGGGATTGGGCGCACATCAGCAGTATCTCTGCGAGATGTCAGTGAGCAGGGCTGTTACATCAAGCTAGGTCTTCTCTGTTAGTACCACTCAACTCAAATTTTACCATGTGGTAGAAGTGCCCTGACCCCATGGGCCAGGAACAGGTGAGCAAGTCAAGGAAAAGAATAGTGGCTTCATTTCTGAAACAATGTTGTTTTTTACTTCAGACTATTTTCAGTGTGGTTTGTGAATCTTGGCATGGACCAAAGCCATGGGACAGTAAAAGCAAGGTCAGTTCCTCATCTTGGCAGTAGCAGTGGGTGCAGCATCGCAGGCCCACCCCGCGGGGTGGTGATGTCTTTTTGGGCAACGTTGATTCTACCTGGGGAGAAGCAAAGCCCTGAGGATGAACTGGATCATGTCACCTCTGGCCAGGTGTGTTAGCGTTTGCTCACTGTCATCCCCCTTCTCCCTCCTGGGAGAGGCCGCTGCAGTTGGATTTGAGGAAGCTCCCAAGGAGCGAGTCACAAATCTAGGTACAGAGCTTGAGGAAGAACTTAGGAGATAAAGCAGGCTCTCGACCCCCTTCCTTTGCACCATGTGTTCCCATGCAGGGGTAGATAATGTGATTAACGTGAGAAGGTACTGGGTTATCTCTCGCTCCCCTGCGCCGAGTCCTCTGATACCACGCAGACCGCATTGCCACCTCCCATCTCTGCTGTGACCCACACATTAGTCTTGTCTTCCTTAGGTGCTGGATGAGGACTCTATGGGCTGCTGCTTCATATCCTGCTGATGCTGAATGAACATTCAACCTGATTAAACTATAAGTGGCATCAGTGGAGGGATTAAAAGCTCTTGAACAAGCCCCTGAAACAACGTGCGTCAATGGAGTGAGCTCTCCTGTCTCAGAGCTGTGAGCTTGGGGCTGCTCAAGCAAGCGCCTTCCCTGAAAATGCTCCTACTCCAGGGAAGCACAAACAGAAACGCTGCCCTACTTGCTAATGAAGCTGCACCACAGGAGAAATCTTCCAGAAAATTCCTCATGTGATTGCCCTGACCTGATGTCTGGGTGCCTCTTGCAAGCCTGCCTTCTCAAACAGAAAGGCTTTTTTCTGATTGCTGCCTGCAAAGGCGGCATCTCCCAGTTAACCTCTCCTGAAAAGCTGTGTGCCCGTAGCCCTGGCGTCTGCTCCGAGCAGCAGAGGCAGCCTATTCCTTTAGAAATGTGTTCCTTCGGCATGGATTTCTTTAATGAGATTTCCTAAGGCTAAGGGATTTGAGTAATTTGCTGGGCAGTAGCAGTTTTTCTTCAGCAGGTCTCTTTCGCTGCTCTGTTGCTGTCGCTGGGTATCTCTGTGGAGCCCCTCGCTCATGCCCGGTGGGAGAGGGCCTGCCCCTGCTGAAGGGGGGAGCTAAATCCACCCTACCAATTTTTTCCATGTAATTTTCTGAGCTCAGAGCTCAAGTTTGGGAAAAATTAAACTGATGTTAACTCCTGGAAAATTTACCACCTGTGCCTAGCACATGGGGTGAGGAAGTGAAGCAGGGCCCTTTCCTTGGGGTTGAAGGTTTGCAAGTGTTTCAGTGACTTCCAGCCCCATCCCCTGCTGCAGGAAGCCCTCGAGGCACCAGTGGGCAGAGCTGACAGCAGCGGGGAGACCCCCCAGGTCCCTCCATCAGGCAGGTGGGTCCCAGCTTTCATCGAACCATCACCACTGGTTCCCGGTACAACCCCTGGCTTCAGCTCTGCTGGTCCCTCTGAAGGTTCTGACATCCTGAATGACCTATTTCCAATACAGAAGTGACATTGTGTGCATGTGTGCTGTTCCTCTGCTGGGTCCAGCCCTGCTGCTGGATGGGATGTCCACAGGGAATTTGCTGGGTTGCAGACAAACTGGATGGAAAATGCTGGTGGCTTATGTGCAGAGTTGAGCATTTCTGCGTCCCTGAGCTCGGAGGACAGGAGGGTGCGGTGCCAGCGCTGTGGATGAATTGGTGCAGCACCCTTGGTGCTACAGAGACCATGGAGGATGCTGTACATTGGGGATTTGGCCAGAGCAGGGACCGGTGCAGCAAAGATCTGCCCATTCTTCCCTAAAATCCCTGTCACTGAGCATCCTCGTGGGCTGTCGCAAGCACAGCACAGCCGCGCTGCAAACCCATCTTGCTCTGCTTTCAGTTGCACTGAAATGGATTTTAACCACCTCTTGCTGAGCCACTTGAGAAGCTGAGGCTGCTTCTGACGCACAGGGCGAGCGGTGCAGGGTGTCCCCGGTGTCACAGCTTGTTCCAACTTTCCTGGTGGAGGACCAGGAGCCAGTGCTCGTGGACACATCATGTGGAGCCTCAAGGCTGGGCTCTGCTGCAGTAATGCTCATCCTTGTTCCAGCTAGGCTGTCACCACAATGAGCCCCACAGGATGGGGCTGTCTTACGGGTGTGCAGGGTGATGCTCAACCCCCAGCCAACCCATCCTGGGTCAGCCCACATGCTGGGGCAGCTGGATGCATACTGACCTTGGCAGCGTGCTATGTGCATCGCTGCCTGAATCACTCCTGTGAAAGAAATGACTGTAAACTGAGTCCAGACCCACAGTGCCTGAATCGATAACAAAAGCACTGCAAAGTAGAGAGATGTGACAGCACCCATCTCAGACTAACTGGGACCAGTGGGAAGGCTGTGGGAGTGGGTGCTCTCTCCGCAGTGGTGTCCTCCAGTCCTTCCATCCAGCAGCTGGATGATTCCACCACCGATCTGGTTACCATTGCACTGTCCACCCAGTGCAGTTGTTCGTAGGCATTGCTGTTCGCGCTCATTGTTTGGGGCTGTGTAACAAGAAGGCATACTCTCATCTCGAGTTCTCCCAGACCCTCAAATGGTGCTTTAATTAAGGCTTGGGAATGAAAGGAGAGGTGCAGTGAGCACACTGAAGCAGCGATCCTGCTTGCTTTACCTATGCGCAGTCTGGGTTGGGTGGCAGCAGGGGTGCTGGCAGGATGCTGTCACAATCTAGTAATAGGGACAAAACCACTGACATACCTGACCTCTCTCTCTCCTTTCTTGTTTTTCTTGCAGGTTAATTTACCAGGGACCCATAATCTCCATTATTTACGTGCAACGAGGGAAGTCAAAGATATAAGAGAAGATGATGATACAGAAGATCCCTGGTCTGCAGGATCTCTGGCAATGTGAAATCTTTGGGTGTTACTTTTTGTTGGGAAGAGGTGTTCTGGGGGTGTGGGAGGGGTCTGCAGGGGCCTGTAGAAGAGCACAAGCTGGCAACTATCACACTCACGAGACTTTTAAACAAGATCCAGAGAGTAGATCCCCTGCCCAGCCCTCCCCATGTCTCCTGTGCTGCCATTGACTCAGTAGATGTTTCTAGGGAAGATCTGGTTCCATAAGGAGGTGGGAATTGGCAGCCCAGCAGCGAGGTGTGCTGCCAGGCACCAGCTCCGAGTCCTACTGGGCACAACTCTGGGTTTAAAGCTATTGCTTTCACCTAGGGGAAACAGGAGCAAAGTGATGGCTAGGCTTGCACTGGGAGTGCAATGCTTTAGAAAAAGTGAGTCTCTTGGGTCACATGTTCCAAGCAGCTAAATAATTTCATAGCCGGGCAGCTTCTGAATAGCTGGATGCTGCCCAGGCTATGAGCAGTTGACATTAAGATAGAATAGCATAAACAAGCTGGAAAGCCATTCAGCAAGGCAGGTCTTGAATGAAGGCAGATCTTCGTTCTCCCTAAGCTGGATTTCACTAGTGACGTTTGTTACAGTCTTTCTATTTAGAGGGCAACGGGGAGCCCATAGGTACATTTTCAGATGGACATCATCTGCAGACAATAGAAACAGAAAGCAGTCCACTTACTCTGATTCATTTAATGCCAAACTTCAGTTGTTAGGAACAATAATTGGCAGAGAAGGAGGTTTGGCCTAAATGGCTCAGGGGCTGGATTCTAGCCTCCCACAAAACACTTTTCCCTGCTAGATAACTATCTCCAGGAAGCAAAAGGTAATGCTGCTGTTTAGGTTTGGTTACAGTACAGTACAGCTCAGGTAAGGAGATTAGAACCTCAGGCTGAGCAGTTAATACTCGATTTCCTTGCCTATATGTAGAACAACACTAATATTCTGGGGCTGACCCTGTGTTGATGGTCTTTAGACTTTTCTCACTGTAAATGCAACGTAAAGCACCACCTCTTCTCTACCCTGCAGGTTCTGAACCAACTAAAACATTTCTCACCAGGCTAAATCACCCGGCAGCGGTTTGGGGAGTGGGCTGCTCTGACCCAGCATCGCTCACAAACTGCCCAGGTGCTCAGCCCTTACTGCAGCTGGAGCTGGCCAGGGCCACGGGCAGAAGAGGGTCCCTCCGACCCCCTTGTCCCTGGCTGTGGGAACTGCTCCTTGCTTGCATGCAGGCTGCAGCTTTCCTGTGTCATCACTGGAAGGTTCCTGAACTAGCAGCACCTCCTTGTGTCTACTCAGTGTCCTTTGCTGACCTCATGGGAATGAATGGAAATGCAGGAAATTCAGGTGGGCTAAGGCAGAGCTAAAGCAGGGAAAGGAGGGAGGGGGTGTTTTTTTCTCTTCCGTATATTCCAGGACACAAAGCTAAGGCTGTCACTGTAGGAAGGCCAGGTCCCTCTTAGGAGGATGATGCCAGAATGCTCCAGGCCATCTGTCTGTGACTTGTGAAGGTTTGGACAGCACAAATGCAGCACCAAGCCCCTGTTCCTACACTCCTCTTCTGTTTGTTCCTAGAGATGCTTCTGTGGGCTGTGGCCAGCCACAGCCAGACCATGACGGTACAGGCTCCTTCCCCCAGGCTGGTTACTGGGGTTTGAGCAGTTTGGGGTTGGTTAGCAGGCACTGTGCTCAGCCCTGGCCACAGAGCATTCTCAGGGGCTTTGAACAGCGCTTTGGCTGCTCTCATTTCTCTCTAACTAGCAGCAGATCCCTGCAGTGGCTGTGCTGAGGAGCCGCAGGTGGGTTTCTCCCCCAGTTCCTGGGGAGGGCTTGCAGAGCCCTGCATCCTGCAGAAGGGCTGCAGTGAGATGAGAGCTGAACCCTGTAGTTCCCAAGTACAGTGTTAGTGCCCTGACCACCGGACCATCCTTCCTCCACCTGACAGAGCCTTTGCTCCTGACTGTTGTAACTGTTATAACCTAACCCTGGCTTGAATGGGTGCAATTAAGAGGGCTTTACCCTCCCAGCCCTGCTTGCATGGCTTTCCCTGCTGGAAGGGCCCCTCACCAGGTGTTACCATCCCAGTTCCTAGCAGGAGGTTTCCATGTGTGGAAACCAAGCCTGAAACGCAGGACGTGGAGGTGGAAGGGGGTGAGTGGGTTGCTCACCAGGACCCCTGCCTCCAGCCAGCTGCCAGCACCCTGCTCCTCTCTGGGGACACAGGAGCGAGCCTGGCAGGCAGCTCCGATTTGGAGAGCAGGCAGGCAGCATCCAGGCAAGCCCTGGGAGGATCAACCCTCTTTGGTCTGCTGCTGTTTCAGGCCATCTTCAAACCACACGTCTCCACCTCAGCTTTTGCATTGCAGATGTGTTTTTAAAGCAGCTTGATGTTAGTGAGCTAGACCGTAGTGCCTTACTTAGGATTTAGCAAACACTTCCAAGGACAAGTCCTAGGGCTGCTAGCCTTTGGCCAATGTGGATGTTTCCCTGATTAGTTTGTCCTTTTAAGAGCATTTCTCCCTGATGATTTTGCTGCTGTTTGTGCTCGACTCCTCAGACTATATGGGAACCTGCCTTGTGTTTACAGCTCCCAGCATCTCTCCTCCCAGTTACTTTGGCCCAGACCAGCACTCCCCCTAGAACAAGGTGGGAACAGGGAACAGCTCAAACCTGCATGTGCTATGGGATGGAGGATGTTTAGGCTTCTTTTCCCAGGTGGGTCTATCGGGCACCTCCTGCCCAGCTCCTGCAGGCTGAACTTCTCCCTCCACTGTAGAAGTTTTTGGTATTAGGATGCGCCGCTGGGAAAACTCAAGCTTAAGCAAGCAGCATCAATCCTGCAGCCCATTGCCCAGCCCAGGGCCAGGCTGTCTCCATCTCTTCCTGGCCACAGTGAAGCCGAGCATCCAGGTGCCAGGGGGGGCCTGATCAGTGGTGGGGGGGGCCAAGCACCCTCTTGTGAAACCCTGCCACCCTCTGGGCTTGTGGGGCCCCAGCTGGTGCCTGTGCTGGGGGAGTGATTGTATGAAACTGTTTACTTCTGACTATGCTGTTTACAAGAGGGATGTGGGGTGGGGGGGGGGAACAAGCCAAGCCTCAGGAGGATTGGGAAACGTGTTATCTGCACCAGCCTACAGCAAGGCTGACACCGCTGGCATTGTGCAGGTGTCACGGGGATCTCCCAGCCAGCTTCGGTCCATGGGGAGGAGAGAGCAGAGGTGGCTCTAGCCTAGAGGGGTTAGATTAGCTCCCCCTTGTCCCCTTGCTGCTGTGTTTGAGGTTCAGCGGTGCTAGTGATGGATAAGAGTTACCCCTGTGGTCTTCCTTTACTCCTCAGGACCCAGCTCCTTCACATATCAGAGGCTCCCAGAGCCTTTCTGGAGCAATAAGACTTAAAACAAGCATTACCATCGTTGTGGAAATCCTCCATTGTGTGCGTTGTATGTTTCCTCCGTATGCAGTACCGAGTCTGGGTTTAAGCCTGCCAAGCGTCATGGGGCAACTGCTTCAGGGCACAAACTGGGACATGTGTCCCTGTGCCTTCTGCAGGTCACAAGAGCAGGGAAACAGGTTGCTGCTTTCCTTCGTTACCCTGGGCGTGCGCTCTCCAAGCCTCACACTACAGCTGCCTGGGGCGAGGGGGGACTTCTGGTCCTGTTTTGGAGACACCGCTGCAGGATGGGCTTGCCGTGCTCAGCCTCCCATCCCATCAGCCAGGCTGTGCAGGATCCAAAGCTCAGCAGAGGAGCAGCATCTGGAAAGCAGACCCCCCAGCTCCCTCGGCAGCGGGATGCGGCTGGTGCTCATCCTGCTGGCTCCCTCGCCAAGGTGCTGCCGGGAGCCATTGCCCGTGGTGGGGAGGGCTGTGCCGGCGGCTTCTCTGCTGCTCAGCTGGTTACTGGGCACATCGCAGCATGTGGCCCTTCATGTCCAAAGGCATTTCACGCTTCAGAGCGGGGCAGCGGGTGCAGCTGGAAGGGAAATGCAGGAAGCTGCTCTCTTCCAGCTGCGACCTGACAAATCCTGTTTCTCTGCAGTCTGCCCAAGTGCTTTTAACTCTGAGGGTGATGTCCAGGTTGCTGGAAGAGCTCGTAGGGGCCACATAGGAGTGCTTGGTGTCCCCATTCTGGCGCCTGTCCCCTCCCCAGAAGATGCCCAGCCCACCCCGGGCCTTCAGCTCACTCATCCAGCAAAACCCAGCACTTTTGCAGAGGCGAGCCGCTTCCCTGCCACACCAGGGAGGTGCCGGGGCCCCAGCAGTGCTAGGTGAGCCCCAGGACAAGGACACCCTGGCCCAGCCTTGCTCCAGGCTCCCCCTGCTCCCTGCAGCCCCTGTGCTGAGCTAGCAAGAGCAAAAGGCTTAAACCCAGACTCCAAACTAAAGATAATGATACTAGTAAATGAATCTGTATTTTTCTTTTTTTTGCACAGAAGCTGGTAATCTAGGACCTATGTGTGAACAACTTTATATAAATATTTTTTGTACTTGGTTTACTCGGGTTGGTATGAGACGTTCTATTTAAGTTCTTTAAACACTGTGGATACCCTGATGTGTATGAGTGGCAGAGGCTTTGTAAATTAAGAGACGTTTGTGTGAATAAAGCTATTTGATGGGGTTGAAAAGCCACACACAACTTGAAACACAAGCTTTGTGCGTTTGTCCTCAACCATGCTGCCAGCAGCGGGTTTGCAAGGAAGGGGAGTCCCCGAGCAGGGGTGGGTAGACCAAGGCCCTAAAGTGGTACTGGCTCCATCCCAGAAGACAGGTCCAGCTTAGACTGGGCAGGGCTAGCCAGCCTGAGCCCGGGGGCTTAGGGCACTAAACCAAGGCAGAGTGGCTGGTGCCAGCCAGAACGTGGCTCCCTGGCACGTGGAGCCTGTGGCCGTTTATCCTTGCCCTAGATTAGGATTAGCCCCATTCTCGCTGCAGACACCAAGAAAGCCACGGCGATTAGCGGGGCAGGCAAGCTTGGCGTCTGCCTGTGGAAACACCTCCCTGTCCTGCCGCTTGCCTGGCAGCCCTGTGGTTCGGGAGCCAAAGAGGATGAGCAGCCACTTGCCCAGCTGGCCACCTCCTCCAAAAGTGGCTGCAAACCCGGCAAGGAAAATGTCCTGCAGAATTCCCACTTTAGTAGCCACAAATATTTTCTCCCTTTGCACTGATCCTCTGCCCCAAATCCCAGAAGCACAGACCAAAACCAAGCCAGTCACAGCGGCTGGGAGTCCCCCGTAGCCCTCTTTCCAGCCAGGATCCCCAGTGCCATGGCTGACATCCATGATGGGAAAAGCACAGCAAGGCTGAGCCGCATCCTGCAGCGATGAGACCTTTTCCTGTGGGCAGAGAACGGCAGCCAGCGATTTCCCAGGAGTAGAACAGCTTGCGGCCACTCTGAGCCAGCACGGGACACGGGGTGTCCTGGTGCACGGGGCCATGCACCGCCGCTCGCCAGCCCTTGTGTAATGGTCCTGCAGCCTCATGCAACCCGGGGCAGCTGCAGCGCCCATGCCGGGACGTGCGTGCTTGGCAGCCAGTCCCTGCCTCCTGCTTCCCCTCTGGCAGCCCCAGTGCTGCCAGCCGCGTGGCTGTGGGCTCCCCCCGCGTGGCCGTCAGCATTGTGCTCCCTAATAGCTACCGACAGGGACCTAAAATGGATGCTTTCAGCCCAGTGGGGCCGCAGTGGGGCTAGTCGGCCCCAGACAGAATGATGCCGAGGGGCCAGAGCTGCCCTGCTCGCTGACAGGCAAGCAAGGAGGGGCCCAAGCTACGTTTTTCTTGGCCCCCCGCCACCTTCCAGCTGGGTTATCTTGGGGCTGAGGGGCATTGACTGCATGGCACCCGCTGCGAGGGCAACCCTGGCTGCTCAAATATCCCCCCCCCCATCCTGCCCAGACCATCCTGCCTGCAGGCAGGGAAGGGGCTGGGTTGGCTCTGGTCACACTGGCCATGGGTGTGGGACAAGCCCCAAGACTGTCCCTGTCCTGGTGACAAGTGCAGCTGCAGAGAGCAGCTGTGCCACACTGCTGTCCCCCACCACAGGTGGTCAACCCCAAACTCCCCAGCACAAACACTGCTGCACCTCCAAGGAGGCTCCTTTTGCTCTCAGGACTTCTCCCTTTTAAGCTACACCAGTGACAAGGATCATTTTACCAACCTCCAGGTTGACGGCATCATGCGCTTCTCTGTGATCGGACATGTAACATGCTCTGTGAGCTCCTGGGGCCACAGCTCTTGTTAGCTCAGCCCCTGCGAATGTGAGGAAGATGAAATCCAGCAGGAGCTTGGGGTGGGAGCCTGGATCACCTCGCACGTGTGCTGCCATGCCGCAGACGAGAAGCCGGGAAGGTAAGGTGACGGCATGGCACAGGCAACAGCCGAAAAGCTTTTAACATCATTAGCGGAAAGAGGCTGGTGTCAGTCACCAGGAGAAATGTTTCACTCTGGATTTGCTCTCTGGAGACCTGTTATTTCGTATGCAAAGAGGGCTGCTAAACTCCACAAAGATGCTTCAAGTATTTGATAACTGACAAAAGTACCCCAGCACCAGCCATCCCCTGCCCTGCCGCTCCATGCTGGGGTAAAGCTGCACGTGGCAAGAGCCATACCAGGCAGCAGGGCAAGGGTGGGATAGGCAAGGAAACCCATGGCAGCCACCATGACCATGAGGCCAATAGCGGCGCCAGCTGGGCAAGCACCAACCTCACCCCGGAGGGATTTAGCATCAGAGAGCAGAGGTGAGATGCTGCTGCCATCGGCTTTGCTCTCCCTCTCCCTGCTTCGACACGTGGTAGGAACATTTTCAAGACCTTCCTCTTTACAAAGGCTCTGGCACTGCATTTTATAGCTAGAGCACTAAGTCATTCAGTGCAAAATGTTAAGTCCATATTTCTTTTAAGATCTCTTGAGCTCCTCAGGCAGAAGCCACTTAAGCAGTCCTCGCTGGACCACAGAGACACCAGCTGCTCGAGCCGGTAGGAAGAGAGCAAGGCCTGTTTTGTTGTTACAGGACATTCATCTGCCTCATCTCCACGTTGATGAATAGCTCTATTTTACCCTGTGTCAGGCTCCAGCAAAGCAGAGGATGAACAGCTAAAGCTGCGGTAAGCCCACACACTCCATTTAGCCGGGAGATGACTCAGACGAGGCTCTTCATGCGGGTGGAGGTGACGATGAAACGCGAGGGTATGAAAACCAGCACATTGGTGAGCGGGGGCTCTGCTCTCCCCGCCGGCTGCCGTGCTGTGAGGCAGAAGGGCAGACCCTCCTCACCCTCTGTCCCCCTCTTCGGTTGCAGGACAGTCATGGGGGTCCTCGGCACAGGGACAGCCCAGCCCTGGTGCTCTGCCGCATGGTGGATAAGGCAGTGGATGGCATTAAGCTGTCACTTATTAAATACCTTTTATCCCATTGCACATGGCATCCCAACAGCTCTCCAGCACCAGCTCGGACAGGAGCAGCGCAGCCCGCAATGTGCGTGGGATGGCCACGGCCACCCCATCCTTCCTCCTGCAGAAACCCCAGGCAGCCCCAGGGATGCCAGCCCTGCCTGGGGGACCCAGGGGATGGAACAGGGAGAGCGACATTGCCCAAACCACCTCCTGATTCCAACCAAGGCTTCAGAAAAGAAAGACGGCCAAGTCAGAAAGCCAAATATATTTTTTGCCTGCTATCTGCCTCAAATGCGCATTTGTGGAGCTGCGCAGGGTGCCCACCCCGCACACACTCCTGCCTCTCCCCGCAGCAGGACCGCACGTGGCAGAGGCATCAGCTTCTCCCAGAGCCACTTCAGGTCAGTCTCAGTGCCACGAACAAAAGCTGCTTCTCCTCTCCAGCTCGTTTCCTGGCAGAGTTAATGGCCTGCGCTCCTCTGGGGACCCAAGCACTTGCGAAGACAGGCTGGGAGGCAAGAAGCAAGGGAGGGAATTAAGACCTTATTTCCTCTGCCAGAGATAAGATCTTTAAACAAGCTTCTCAGCCAAGAACTTTTTTTTTTTTTTTTCACAGGTTTTGCAAGGGAATCTTGTTCTCTAGAATTGCATCCGCCTCCAACCCCACTTAGAGCTGCCAAAGCCTGCGCTTCCCCCGGGACCAGCCTGAGATGGATGAGCTGACACGGACAGGACTTCACCCTCACTGTCCTGCCACCGGAGCTGGGGGCTGTTGGTATTTCCAGAGTGCCCCCCCCCCCCCCCCCGGCCCGGTGTGGTGGCCCCGCCAGCCCCCACGGATCAACCACATGGACCACTGCCGTGCAGTGGCTGGATGAGGCCCCCAGGGTGAGCATCCCCGTGAGCAGCAGCAAAGCCTGGCCCAGCGACACACCGCTCCAAGCTCCAACTCCACTCCCTCTGCATGGATCCAGCCCCACAGTCATTCCTGTTTTAACCTGGGAAGGGCCAGCATCTGTGGTCTTGTGAAAGATGTTCGTTCCCCCTCTGAAAAGCCTTCTGGAAATCGGTGAGGAGCACTAAACTGGCTGTGCGGGGTTCACCTCCCCTCTTCCACAAACCCAAGCAGGTCATTACCTTACCGTGAGCCTCAATTCCTCCTTGTAACACAGAAATGCCCCAGTACTGGCCCTGTGTTTGGGGAAAACAGACAAATGTTCCCCAAACCACCATAGCCTTCAACAGCAAGAAATAAATGCCCCTGCCTTGCTCCTGCCCTGGGGGTTTGCAGCCCCCCCCTTGCTTGGAGGCTGCTGTGGGAACAAACACTTTGGGCTGATTTATCCGCCACATAGGCGCTGCAGATTAACGCGCCAGCCCTGAGAGATGGAAGGGAGCACGAGCCAGCCAGCCAGGCGATAAATCACACGACGCAGGCTCCAGCTCTGCCTGCCGTGCTCTACCCTCTGGTACTAAAAGGTGCTGGTCACCATGTTCCCAGTGGGATGAATGCTGGAGCATCCGAGCTGCTTTCATTCTCCCGTGCCCCGGGGAGTGCTGCGTCCTGACATTAGCCCGACTGTGCTCCCCGTCAGCCGCAGCCCCAAGCGGGGACTGACCGCAGGGGATGACCGGGGGACAAGGCTGCAGGCTCAGCAAGTTTCCCACTTCCCATCTTCGCTCTCTGTCACACATCCAAGCAAACGTGACCCCCTTGGGAAGTTTTCCTGGAAAAAGGGGGGATGCAAGCTCGCTGCTCGGACAAGCCTGCCAGCAAGGGCCATCTCGTGGGGTCTGGGACAGGATGGCCTGCCTTGAACTTATGCTCACGGATGTCTGTCTTGCAAAGTGCAGCACAGCACAAGGATATCCGAACAGGCTTTTGATGAGCTTCTAGCAAGATAAAGGAGCTTCCATGACCCCCCTCCGTCTTCCTGAGCTAGATCATCGGTAAACCAACCGCTGCTGTAGCCTGCAGCTCAGATGAGCTCTCACCTCTCACGTCCCGCACACGTGTCACAGTACTTAAATTAATGTCACCACTGGAGAAAGAGGGTCTGTCTGCCCTAGGACTCCCCTTCAGTGCCAAGACCTGTCCGGGCTGTTCAACCATCAAACACTCAGCAGGGGAGGAAAGGAGAGCTGACAGAGGAAGGCTCCCTTTCCCTTACCTGAGGAAATCCCGACCACTCAGCCCTGCACGTAGCAGATCTCAGGGATGAGCACAGACCAGGGAAG